AGCGTGGGTCCCGTGTGGCTAGCGTAAGAGCTAGTGCCACCGCTCGCCGTGTCGGCGTGCGCGGGGAAGCCCAGGGGCTTTGCCGTTGTAAAGAGGAGAAAGATCCGAGGGTTCCGTTATAAAATCACGGTCTATAGAAATAGTACGTGTAGAGTTCGCGCTATTTTCTAATAACGCGAGGGCATTTTTACTAATGTGCCAGCACGCGCGGGCTTCCTCGTTTCGGGCCGCATCACGTGCGTGGGCCGGTGGCGCGCGGGCCGCACCGCGAGCCACTATGCGCTTGCACATGCGCGCGCTGCGTCGCGTGTGGGCCGCGTTGGGCCGAAATCAGTTTAGTTTTTTCGTGGAGAATAGAAATAGCTTTTCATTTTAATTCTGAGCTGAACTTTGACAATTAATATAAAATCATGTAGGTATCCAAAAACTATGAAACCAATTTTTTTAAGTTTCTAAAATTGTGCTATATATGTTAGTGTATTTAGTTCATATATATACTTATTGATACCATGAGCTATTAAGTTATTTGAGAGTGCTTAATATTATTATATTAAATATTGTAGGAATTTTTCTGGCAAAATGGTGATAGCTTTAGCTTTGAAAATTTTATAGTAGCTTCATATTATTATTATGTGTCCACTGCAATTTTTATAGCTTTAGAATAGACTTAACATAAGGGTAGTTAAATGCTCTTTGTTTGAAATATACATTAAATCATTAGTAGAAATATAGATATATATCCTTTATTTGTAAAGTTAGGTGTTTGTTAGTTGAACCCAACACTTTACTTGATGAGGATGATAATTAGCTTAGTATCTTGGTCATTAGAGCTGACTTAGTAATTTACCATGTGTATTCTTATTTTAAGAGTTGTTGTTGCCGAAATGCTAAGTGTTGCATCATCATCGCATACATGTAGATAACGAGTTGGCGGGGATCATGACCATCGGAAATCACTGAGTTTGAGGAGGTGAGTGAGGAGTACGAGGAGGAGATCCTTGTGCAGGAGGAGGTCCTGGAGCCACCACCGACTGACTGAGCTGGCACCACGTCTGTCCAAGGCAAGCTCCGGTGCATAACACTTATTTTGAATAATCACTGGATATATATATGTGATGTGCATTTATGTTACAGGCTTATTGTTGAAACTACATGCATAGATAAACCTACCTATGAGTCCTACTAGCATAGGTTGAGTAGCTGCTATGCTTAAGCTATCGGTAACATAAGTAACCTGTCGTTACTCACAATAGGTGATTATTATTATTATTCTCATGATAAAATGGTAAAAGGAAATAAAGACCTAGCAGGGATATGGTATGGGTATTGGTGGGTGTAACAGGTTGTGTCCCGCGACTAATGGGGCATAGCTTGGTTACACTGTTTTTCTTGTCCGTGTTGGTTAAGAAGCAGCCGTTACATTGGATTCTAGTCAGGTCACAGACTTATTATCCTGAGCACATACCTGTTTATGGGAGCGGGAAGGCTCGTTGCTCTCTTGTCGTGGGTTCCGGTTCTTTCTGTACCGACTGATTGGAGGTGGAGATGGTGGAGGTCTAAGTACCACACTGAGTCTGGGACTCAGGTGTGGGGGCTTAGAGTCCAAGTTTGGATGGGGACCTAGACCCCTTAACAGGAGAGTGGTGGGTTGGTCCTACTTGTGCATGTGGTATAAGCGGGGCATGTGTTTCGGGGTACCCAGCTAGGCTACATTGATTCGTGAATCGCCATGTAATATGGTACTACTTGTCTACGATCTAGCACCATAGTAAGAACTGAAAGATAAAAGACGGTGAAATGGATCTGATTGCTCAACTTTTGCTTGAAAGTAGAACAGATGCTTACTTAGAATGGTTAGCTAATGATCTAATCATGATTGCTAATATAACACATACATAAGGATTCACTACTAGTAATATTTTTTCGCAAAAAGAAAACCCAGCAAATCATAAAAAGCCTATCATATCCTTTGGAGTCAGAAAATTATTCCCACTAGTCGGGTAAGTCTTGCGAGTACATTGTGTACTCAGGATTTATTTACTTCTGTTGCAGGTGCAGCTTGAGGAGTAGCAGTTGTGTTGAAGATTTTTCTGGTGGGCACAGATGGATTCTTGTATCTTATCGTTAGATGTTTATTTTAATTCCGCTGTTTAAATTTCGCACTCTGAACTTGGTGTTGTAATACTGTATTTCTGAGAACTCTTGTTGTATGAAATAGACTAAGTATTGTAAATTCGTTCTCATTATTGAATTATGGAGGAAAAACGTGGATTGTTCGAGTTCTCCCTTAGGGTGTGCTCGACGGAACCGTCCGATGTAGCCAGTTTTCGGGGTGCTTAGGGCCTGGTGGAAGACGAACGCCTCCGAAAACGTGCTATTCCAGATGGTTCTGCCACAAGAAGTCTACTACGATCCTCTACATGTCACTAGTATTCTCTATTGGTCCCTAGAGTTGTCTAAGTTAGAAATTAGTTTCTTTCTACGACGTTGGTTTGCTACTGTCTGGAGGTAAGTTGTATTCCATTCACAGTCTAAGATGTTCCTAATGCATTCCCATTCGCAGTCCAAGATGTTCCTAATGCATTCCCATTCGCAGTCCAAGATGTTCCTAGCTATCCCTCAACTATTGCCTAGTTTTTGTTTCCTCTAGGCCCATAGTTGCTCTAGCTATTTGGCTATGGTTTCATTCTTTCAAATTTCTAAGGTGAAAGCTCCCTAAATTTAGAAGCTACATTTGTAACATTATACTCTTTCAAAATGGTTTTCCTATGTTTGTTTTGCTCAGCTCACTAGCCTGACGGATTTGGACCATGCGATCAAATCTATCTTCATGCCATCTTAATCTTATAAGAATATTATTCTAATAGCACTACCCCAAAACTTCTTTTTAAAGTGCCTATAGTAGCCTTTCCATGCTTGCATTAGTAAGGATACCATTAACAATACAGAGATAGTTGCTAGCTCTAAGATAACTTTTGTTTGAATGATATTAACTTTTAGTACGTAACTTATAATATAAATAGCTCCGTATGTTAATCTTGTACGATCTTGTAGTGTGTGCATGAGACTAACACAGGATTAAGAGATGATTTTTTTCTCCTTCCTATTAAAATATAAAATAAATATGTTTAGAGTTAACTCATAAGTCACTGTCGAAGATGTCCTAAAGGAGCCCTACCATGCTTGAATTAATAAAGGAGAAAGTAGAGGTCAAAAGTTTATACTTTCTCCGTCCCAGAAAAAGTGACGTTTTAGGATTTTTAGACAGGTCAGTGGAGAAGAGAAATATCCCTAATACCCTTGATTTGTTGCACTTTATTACCTTAAAAAGGATGTCCCGTGCTTTACTTGCCTAATTAACATGTGCTGGATGCAAGCATGCAGACTCTTCTGGTCGGATGTGTTTGATTAAAGAAATTAAAGGCCGGATTTGTTGCACATGTAGATTCTCTTGTAAGCAAAAAAACGTACCTAAAACTTCGATTATCATTTTTTCTGGAACAATTTTTGAATCACACAATATTACTTTTTTTTGGACGGACGTAGTACCATTTTATACACGTGAAAAAACCGAAAACCACACTGCTAAAAGCAAGAGATGGGTGGCATACCCTGCGGGCTGTCAGCTGTGGCCCGGCGCCCCTACCTTTTGGTCTCCCGTCCCCCCCGGCCGCATACTCTCTCTTCTCGTGGTTCTCCCGTGCCCCTCGCGCGCGCTCTCTGTCTCTCGGGGCGACGATTAGGCGGCTGCCCGCCACCGCAGCCGCCGCCGACGGCCGCCAGATTCCCAGGTCTCCATCTTCGGGACCTTGGCCGGCAGGTACGCTGCCATCCCTAACCCCTTCTCTTCCGTTCCTGCTGTGCCTGAAACCGAGCACCCAAACCCTAGCTTAAGCTATCCGTGTTCGGATCTGATCTGATTCAATTACAAGTGTAGTATGCATGTATTATGCGTAGAAACTTCGATTTTTTTCTTCCTTTGCAAAAATTATTGGGTGTACATGTGTACACCCGTCCTTTACTGGGTCCGCCCCTGGTTGAGAGCTGCTCTACTGAGCTTTGTAACATCAGGGAATCAGAGCTTAACTCAAATTCAGTTACAGTATTGGATAAGTATGTGAGCTGCATTGTAGGAGCATGCCTATCTGGTGGCTTAACTCCCTATATGGAAATGCAACTAGCTGCAATACCTGAAATCCTGGACCCGGCCTCTAAATGAGACTGTTCGCATCAGCTTAGGTGGTACCAGGGCTTGAGAGAGAAAATGCTGGGCACAGTGTTTGGTGTTGGGTATGTGTTTAGATAAGACATGAATGCACGCAGTGCCGCTCACTCCACTCTGAGCAATGTGGATGCTTCATTCAGTGTCCAAGTCGACAAAACGCCAGGACACTAAAGCTAGTTGCCCCTTACATTAGTAGAGTACTTTGAACATGTACTGCTAGTTTATGCCATGCATGTGATAAGTAACGAGAACGCTTATAATGGTTGATCAGCAAAATATTCCTTTAGCTCAGCAACATCAATGGATTGATCAGCAAATCCTGCACACATATAAAGACGATAGTCATTCTTTTCTTCTCTTACCATATTCCATATTGAATTTGAAGTTAAAATTCAGATTCTAAAACTTGCAAGATTTCACTAGTTTTGCTCACTAGCAGGAACCTTCTCGGTAACAGGAACCCTGGGCTGGTAAAGTTCTATCATACCATGACAAGGTTGCTGTGTTATATCTAACAACTAACATATAGCCAGTGAACTTATTGTTTCTGAGTCTCATTAAAAAATGTCACACCTGAATGTGAGCATCTTATTTGTAGAAGTATTCCTTTTATCTTCTTATTAATCATTTCATCCGTCCTATTTTCTCATGTATCTTTGTGGTGTGTTTTGGTGCGCCCATAGGTACTCATTGTGCTGAAGGAACGGAATAATGTATTAGCCCTCATGTGTTAACACCTATATAAACTCTGAGTATCCTAGTTTCAAGTGAAATCATGGCACGAAAAGGAAATCAAAGCAAGAGTGGTCCCAATCATGCTTCACCTAACTGGCAAAATACAACTGATGGTGATGTACTAAGTACACGAGAAAGGGGTGCTACAGATAGTGAAAATCCGAGTTCACATGTTCAAGGCAGATCAAAGGGTCCTGAAGGAAGCAGTGAGAAGAAAGGAAGAAGCAGCAAAAGGAACAGCAGAAACAATGGCATATCATCCTTTGGAAAGAAGCAACAAATGGATACCAGTTGTGATATAAGCAGTTCAGAAGAAAATGAGCTTTCGATAAGAGGCACTAAAAATAGAAGAGGTAGCAAGAAACCCTCTAGGCGCGGTTTTGGTAGAAGTTTTTCGATTGAGCAAACAACATCATCTGGATTGGCAGGAAATGTTTTGGAGAAGACTAGGTGCATTGCTTGCATGGCTGCATCCATTATTAGAGCTTCCATGATATATCTAGTCGAGGAAGGTAAAAAATTTATCGACAGAAGAAGGCCAACAATCAACGCTTACATGGCTATTGTGAACAAAGGGCATGCCTATGTCTTAAGCAAAATTGCGTATGTTTATCGACTTTATCCTATAGTTCGAGCTTGGATGCTTAATGCTGGAAGGTTGATGTTGCTCTTGTTGACGGTTTGGCTAGACTGCAATCTAAGGGGCTTTGATTCTTTGCTACGGTTGGGGGGGACAAACTCCATCCTAGCAGTACTTTGGTGCAGCATGCTGTCAACTTTTTCAATGATTGGGATAAAAAAGATGCTCATATTCATGGTATGGTTTAACTATCCCTTAGGCTTCTGCTCAAATTTATTGATAATGTCAATGTGTACTAGCTTAATTTATGATATTTCATTTTTCACAATTTTTTTCCCAATACAGATCAAAATAACATTGGGCTTATTAACCTCAGTAATGAAAATGCCATTTTGCTTGTGAATTAACATGTGTGAGCAACTTCGGTAATGGCATCTTGCTAGCAAGACCTTTAGAGCAAGAAACTGTTTATCATGCAACACTTACATGATGTTTTCTTTTGTATGGTTTAATGGAAGTTTTAGCTCTAGTATCCTTCATTTGACCTCACATTTTTGTGCTTTCTGTAACATGATGATATGTGCCTGCTTACAATAAATGTAGACCTTAGAATTGCCAATCTGCTGCTCGCCAACATTTCATTACTTCAGTTTCTTGATTAACTGGCTGCAGCACCTCATACTAGTAATGAAATTCAGGTTTCCCGTTGTGATAAAAAAACACAGCATAGTAATGAAATTCAGGTTTCCCGTTGTGATAAACAACACATCATACTGCATCTGTGTTAGAGGAAGACTTTATGGATGATCTTGGTCAATGGTCACTACTCTCCAGATATTAAAAATGAGTTTAGTTGGTATGCAACATGTATCATTCACATTCAAATGTACAGTACAATGTTCATATGATCCTGCATTTCACGTGCTCAATCTTATGTCATCTCAATTCATATTTTGTTTACTAATTTTACTGATTTCTCAATTATGATAAGTGATAATATAATTCAAAATGCTTTGCGTGAACTGAAAATCAAAGTCTGGTAACAGTTAATATATAATTATTACCTATTATGTCTGGTTTTGTTTTAAATTGTTTTTGTTCTTGCCATGCTGTTTCTTGTTTAAATCATTAATTGCTATGCTCATTGTGCTTTATCATTCTTTTCATCTTTGCTACTCTCTTTTTTCAGGCGATTGCTGCTTCTGCGATTGCCTTCATAGGTCTAGGTTTTGCTATCCTGCTTATCTCAGTTCTTGCAGTGGTAATCTTATGGTTTTATGGAAGTTTTTGGACGACAACTTGTGTAATAATTCTTGGAGGTCATATTCTGCAACTTACTCATATTTATTTGGGATGTATTTTATTCAAATTTTACAGTTTGTAAATGCAGTACTACTTGATAACTAAGTGGTGATATCCCTTGTTTCCAAAATGCAGGTGTTTTCTTTTTCGTGAAACGTGAACGAATAGCTCTCCTTGTTGCCTGTTTATATTCGATGTATTGTGCGAGATGCTACGTCGGATGGCTCGGATTGCTTTTGGGCCTCAACTTATCTTTCTTTTCTAGTGATGTTCTAGTGCAGTTCCTAAGGGACAATGTAGACAATAAGAAATTCAATGGTTCTTCAAGGAACTCGGAGCAAAGCTCAGGTAGACCAGGCAATATCTTTGAAGAATTTCAGCCATCGGCAGATAGCGCCTCCCAAGCCAGATATGCTCCAGCTTCAGATCGAAGTCCAGGTGATCCTTCAACAAGTGGATCTGAGAAAGAGCTGACCTCTGAAGATGAAGTGGCTCGTTTACAGAACTGCACTGACCACTATTCAGCATTAGGTTTCCGTCGATATGAGAACATAGATGTATCATCTCTTAAGAGAGAATACAAGAAAAAGGTGATGCTAAAAGATGAACTAAAGCATATGCTTTGTTTTTGCACATGTCACCTTTCAGTTTAAATTAATGTTTTTCAAAGCTGTGACGTGATAATAATCATTGTTAACAGTGATTAGTGATTTTTCAGGCTATGTTAGTCCATCCCGATAAGAATATGGGCAATGATAAAGCTGCTGATGCATTTAAAAAGCTTCAAAATGCATATGAGGTTTGTGTGTAGTCCTTGTCAAGCTAATCATAGATCCAATCACAACGCATCTTTGTTATGGTCATGTATATTCATGAGGTTCCTACTAAATGCACAGATTCTTCTTGATTCACTGAAACGCAAGACATATGATGATGAGTTGAGGAGGGAGGACCTCCTGAATTACTTCAGGCAGAGTGTTTCTCAAAAGGTCTTATTAATTTTCCTTTATGCTTGCCATTTATGCTTTGTTAAACTTCTCTATATTCCCATTCTTGACTTTGAGGTAGTTCAAGCATGCATTCTTAAGGCTACCTGCAACTACCGCTGACCTGTTACAGTTTGATGAGTGGGGACTGTAGTAGGGAAACTGGTTACTTTCACTGGACTGAAAAATTATCCAAATTTGGACAAGTTTGGAACTAGTTTAGTTTTGGAGTGTTTACATTTTTAGGTGCATGCATGGATTTACATTATATCACTGGGCAAGTTTGTAACTCATTGTTCTTCCAAGTATCACAGAAGAGGATTACAGTGAATGAAGTCCCTACTGGCGTAACCATATTAATCTGGGGCTTTGGCCATTTGAGGACGTGCAACTCAACTTTACATATGGTCACAATCAGCTCTGGACTACTTATAATTTCGAAAACATGACCCATAAATGTTCATTGACAGCCACTAAAGTTCAATTCATCCAGGAATTACATAGTTTATCACTCTAGTGTTTTCAGTTCCGTGTGTTAGTGGGTTTGTTTGTTAGAGGAAAACATTATTACTTCTAGGTGTCCTCAAACACCCCTTTAGACTGTTCTTGGTTTCAATGGCAAGTTGGGAACAGCTTGTTCAGTGTATCTTTTAGGAAAGTTTTGCTGGAATAGTTTTATCCGACATATCAAGGGTCCATTTTTGTTTACTGCATTGTGCTTATTTGTTAAGTGCTGTTGAAAATTAGTTAAAATTTCACATAGATTGATTAGGATGGCGAAAGAAGTCTAGATAAATCCTGCATTCCTGCTATTAGACTGCTGTTTGTCTCACATGCATTGTATGATTTGGATATCGAAATGCTAATAACTTGATACATCATTTGCAATCGAGACAATTATACTGTATGGGGCTTCATCTAGTTTTAGTTTTGCACTCATACTTTTGGCAGTTAAAGTGATTTTGTCAAACTTTATAAAAATACAAAAAGTTCATGTGTTGTTATAAGGTTCGTTCACTGAAGGACACCTAATATAAGAATTCTGACATCAAAAGACATTATCTATAGACTAAGGTGATTTTTTTTTTACTTGCATTATTAGCTACTATGCTATATGTTGCATGGAAACTCTACTGTTTAATGGGCAATCATTGGACCATCCTGTTTGCTGCATTATTTCATCCTTAGAAAGGTTTTAGTTCATTACATTTCTGATTGGCATGATTTCTCTGATTCTTCTAGAATGGAAGAAACAGTACTTTCCAACATGGGTTCAGCCCTTCAGAAGGTGTTGATGAAGGTCCTTATGGTCTTTCCAGAAGAATAGCTTGCAAAAAATGCGGCGACTTTCATCTTTGGATTTATACTGGAAGAGCTAAATCACAAGCTAGGTGGTGTCAGGTGCTTTCTTTTGACATGTGAAATGGGTGATTTCTAATACTGTGCTACTAATAAATGTCTTAAATTAACTAACGTATTTTCTATATTGCAGGACTGCAAGGAGTTCCATCAAGCTAAAGATGGCGATGGATGGGTTGAACAGTCCTTTCAACCTGTTCTATTTGGCATGCTGCAGAAGGTAAATGCAAAATTATTCGAACCTTTGATCTTGCTTTTTAAGAACTCAACTTCTTTTCAGGAGATAAAATGATGTATTTGTGCACCACTTCTAGAGCAGTTGTACGCATCAAACATAAAACCTAGGAATCACAAAGTTGTGACTGACATGGTATGATTTGTTCTGTTTTGCAGCTTGATTTACCTCATGCATATGTTTGTGCAGAAAGCTACATATTTGATGTCACTGAGTGGTTCAACTGTCAGGTGATTCAGATTTTCTCAATAAAAATTCAGATCTGTTCATTATTTTTTGCACAAACATTTGCTTGTTCTGCATGAAGGGTCATCATTTTTACTTTGTTACCCCCGTTTTTAAATATACGACGTTTAGGATAAGCTAGCTAGGTAAAAATGAACTATTAGTTTGTTATAAATGTCATATTATTTAAAAACGGAGCGAGTAGCTTGTGAGTACTTTCATGTTAGTGAGTATTGCGTATGGAGTACCATGTGTAATTGATAGGATTGCGGATCCTACCAGCTATGGTTCGGAGGTTGTAGGGATGGTGGATCGGAGGACGGAAACGGGAACGGCGCTGGGGCGCCGTGTTCTCGATCTAGGCGAAGAAGGAGGAGGCTAGGGCTGTTATGAAGTCTCCCGGCTCCCTAAGGGAAGCCGAGCAGATTGATTGCTCTTGCTTCATTGTTTCAATTCCTTACAATAGCTATATATAGCAAATAATGAAAATACTAATGGGCCTTGCGCCTAACTAGCCACTAATGGGCTTCGCCTTGCAGGCATATGACCGACCGGTCATAACATCTCTCCCTTCATTTGAAACAACTTCGTCCTCGAGCCGAAGTCTGAAAATCGCATGACGAATTCTGGAGAGAGGCTCCCAAGTTGCATCGTCTGCGGGCAAACCACGCCACTCAATGAGGACGCGCCAGATGCCCCGGCGCTGTTCCGCCCGGAGGGCATGTACCGGCTCTGGGAGCAGACGCCCATCGAAGACTGGAGGGAGTGCCGCTGATGTCGTTGGAGTATCGCCGCGGTGACGCTTGAGCAACCCCACATGAAAGACGTCGTGGATACGGGCGCCCTCTGGAAGCTGAAGACGATAAGCGACACGGCCGATGCGCTCCTGCACCTGGAATGGCCCTGCATAGCGTGGTCCCAACTTGTGCTTCGCCCGTGGATCAAGAGACTGAGCAGTCCTGTGCAACAGACGCAGCCACACCCAGTCGCCCACCGCGAACTCCACGTCACGGTGGCCGGCGTCGTAGTATTTATTGGACAGCTGCTGGGCTTGAAGTAGACGCTGACGAACCTCGGAGAGAATCTCATCACGGCTGCGTAGAAGAGTGTCAGCCGCAACCGTCCGAGCCGTCCCAGGCTTGTAAGGCAGGATCGGCGGCGGGAGACGGCCGTAGACGACCTGGAACGGGGTGGCACGTAGGGCGGTATGGAACGCAGCAGCGTTGTTATACAAAGATATTCCCCAGCGAGCCAATCGACCCACGCCCGAGGCCGATCCCTGTGACGCATCGCAGTACATGGCGATGACCTTGTTCACCACCTCGGACCGCCATCGATGCGAGGGTGAAAAGCCGTACTCATGCGCGCAGCTTGACGCCCGCCATCCGGAACAAGTCGCGCCACACGCTTCCGGTAAACACGGGTCCCGGCCATCGCGGCGATGGATGCACGAAACCCGTGCAACGAACGATGTTGTCGAAGAAAGCTCGTGCGACGGAGGCGCGGTGTAGGGGTGGCCGAGCGCTATAAAATGCGCGTACTTGGAGAAGCGGTCGACCACCGTGAGAATGACCGACTTGCCGCCCACCTTTGGGAGGCCTCGATGAAATCCATGGAGATATCCGCCCACACCGGGGCGGCACCTCCAGCCGGCTGCAGCAGAGACCCCGCCGGCCGCAATGTCTCCGTCTTTGTTCTTGCGCCGCACGTCGTACAATTGCGCACCCAGTCTTGGACAAGTGCGCGGTCTCCTGGAATGTAGAAGTCGGCGCGTAGACGATGGAGGGTCTTCTGGACACCCTCGTGGCCCGTCGAGTGAGCCAGGGAGAGCGCCTGGTGACGCAGTCGTCGTGGTCGGGGACGTACAGCCGGCTGCCATGGAGCAGCAGGCCCTCCTCCATCGCCGGGGACTGCAGGTCGCCGCCTCGGATGCGTCTTGCGGTTGCTGCACGTCCGCTGCTGTAATGGTGGCGCGGCGGATGTCGTCGACGAAGGCAAACGAGGGTCCCGAGCGAGCACAAAAGGCTGCGCCAGCCTCGCTGTCCGGATCAGCGTCACGGCGAGATAGAGCGTCGGCGACGGTGTTGAGGCGACCCGGCCTGTATTCGACGGTGAAGTCGAAGCCGAACAACTTGCTGATCCACTGGTGCTGGGGAACGGTGGAGAGACGCTGATCCAATAGATACTTCAAACTGTAATGGTCAGTGCGAATCAGAAAATGACGCCCCCATAAATATGGACGCCAGTGTCGCACCGCCTGCACAAGACCGATTAGCTCCCGCTCATAGGCCGCCAGCTTGAGATGTCGTGCGGCGAACGGCCGACTGAAGAAAGCGAGGGGGCCGGCGGCCTGGTGCAGGACGGCGCCGAAACCCGCGCCTGATGCGTCGTAGTCCACTATGAAACATTTGTCGAAATCGGGCATCTGGAGGACGGGCCCCGTGGTGAGGGCGTGCTTGAGCGCCTGGAAGGCCTCGTCGGCCTCGGCGTCCCAGGTGAACGCGTCTCGCCGCAAGAGACGCGTGAGGGGCGCGGCGATGAGGCCAAATTCCCGAATGAATTTTCGGTAATAGCCCGCCAGGCCCAGAAAGCCCCGAAGACCCCTGACGGAGCGCGGCGCCGGCCAGGATGCGACGGCCGCCACCTTGTCGGCGTCCATAGCGACGCCGTCCTTGGAAATCACGTGGCCCAAGTAAGCCACAGACGTCGCCCCGAACGAGCACTTGGAGCGCTTAAGGTGGAGATGATGCGCCGGCTCGGCGAGGACGATGGCGATATCTTTGAAGGTGTTCCGCCAGACGAATCAGAGATCGAAATATCGTCAAAAAGACCAAAGACAAACCGTCGCAGATACGGGCGAAGGACGTCGTTCATCAGCGCCTGGAACGTGGCCGGTGCGTTGGAGAGGCCGAACGGCATCACCAGGAACTCGTAGTGGCCGTGGTGGGTGCGGAACGCCGTCTTGGCGATGTCGTCGGCGCAGCATCTCGCACTGGTGGTAGCCCGAGCGCGATCGAGCTTGGTGAAAAGCGAGCCCCATGTAGCTCGCCCAAAGAACTCATCCACCACCGGATGGGGAACTTGTCCTTCGAGGTCTTGGCGTTGAGGGCTCGGTAGTCGATCTGCGAAGCGCCAGAATTGTCCGCTTTGCGACGAGGGAGCACCAGGGCAGCGGCGCGGTGCTTCGGACGGATGATGCCTTGGGCGAGCATGGCCTCAAGATCGACGCTCCAGCTAAATCCCTTCCGGGCTGGGGTAGGGTAGCAGATGCGGACGGACGGACACGCCGCCGTGTCGGGTAGCAAGTGAATGCGGTGGTCGTACGGCCGTGCCGGTGGAAGACCGCGTGGCTCGTCGAAGATGGCGCTGTGCTGCTGTAGGAGGCGGTCCAACAGCGGCTATTGATTGTCATTGGAGACAGCCGCTGCCTGGACAGTCCCACCAGTCCCGCCCATGCCCGTCCATAGGATACGGCGGTCGTGGCGGGAGAACGACATCGTCTTGGCCGCCAAGTCCCACAAGATCGGACCGAGCGTCTTCAGGTAGTCGTAGCCGAGGATGAGGTCGAAACCGCCAAGGTCGAGGCCCACGCAGGTGATGAGGAAGTCCTCGCCCTCAATGCGAATGGGGACCGCGCGGGCGATCCCTTCGCATCGTAGGCGGTCGCCGTTGGCCACCGTAACCCGCAACTGGTCGCCCCCATAGGAGAGAGACCCAAGCGGCGCATAGCATCGCCCCGGAGGAAGTTATGGGTAGAGCCAGTGTCGAGAAGGGCCACCAGACGCTCCCTGTTCACCTCCACCGGCAGTAACATCGTGTTCTCTGTCGTGATACCTGCCAAGGCATGCAAGGAGACGACGAAGGCGTTAGCATCTGGCTGCTCCTGGGCGGTCGGCTCCTCCGCCTGTACCGCAGCAACCGCGGGCACCGTCCTCGACCGACGCCGCCTCGTCCACGATGCAGTCGTCGTCGGCGATGTAGAGGAGTCGGTGGCAGACATGACCGGGGGCGTAGGTCTCGTCACAATTGAAGCAGAGCCCCCGGCGTCGGCGCTCCGCCTGCTCTGCCGGTGTTAGGCGGCGGAACACGCGACCCTCAGGCGGCGCGTTGGCCGCAGCGGCCCCTTGGCCTCCCGACGTTGGAAGACCTGCGGCGGCGCGGCCAGGTGGTACTGGTCGCGGGGGCGGCCGCGCGCAGGGGGCAGCGCCTGCTGCCCGTCGCTCGAATGCCCGCGCATAGTGCATGGCCGTTTGGAGGTCTTGGGGCTCTTGCATCTCCACGTCGGCCCGGATATGCTCCGGAAGGCCGCCCACGAAGAGCTCGGCACGCTGTAGTGTAGAAACTCCCGGGGCGTGGCATGCCAAGGCCTGGAAGCGCGCGGCGAAATCCTGCACCGTCGTGGTGAAGGGCAGCCGGCCTAGCTCAGCCAAGCGGCTACCCCGTAGTGGTGGTCCGAAGCGCAGGTGACAGAGGTCCCGAAAACGCTCCCACGGCGACATCCCTTCATCTTGCTCCAGGGCGTGGTACCAGGTCTGCGCCTCGCCCTTCAGGTGATAGGAGGCGAGCCAGGTACGGTCAGATGCTAGCGTACGCTGGCCCCTGAAGAATTGCTCACACTGGTTGAGCCAATTCAGGGGATCCACGGAACCGTCGTACGTGTGGAATTCCAGCTTATAGAACCTGGGCGGCGCTGGCGGAGGTCCGTCATTAGAGGATCCCCCTGCAGGAGCTGCTGGCACCGTGGCCGACGTCGCCGACGACTGCAGGGTACCCCCATGGAATAGAGTGCCGTCGGCGCCCCCGTACAGGACGCCGGACGCTGGAACGCCCCCATGCGTGACGCCCAAGCCCGTGGAGAGCAGGGGTGGCACGGAGGGCTGGGAACGCGCTGTAGTGTAGACGGGTGGCACCGACGCCTCTGACAGGCCCGTGATCCAACTCGGCAGCTGCGACGGCGACCGGGGAAACGCGATCTGTGTGATCGGTACTCCAGTGGACGGGGGCGGATGCACGGCCTGGTGTGTCGAGGAAACCGACCCGTCGTAGGGCATGCCGTACTGGTAGGAGACGGCAGCTGTAGCGGCCGCCGGCTGCGGTGGCGGAGACGGCGCCGGCAGGGCCTGCTGGTACGTTGGCTGCGGCGCCGGCAGGACCGGCTGTGCCTGCTGGTACGGCTGGTAGTAGTAGGGCTGAGGCTGCGGCTGGGTCGCGTACGGCCCCGCGAGGAACGAGCGGATGCCCGCAATGGCCTGGCCGATCTCGAGAACGGCCGCCGTCAGTTCAGCGGGCGTCATGACGGGGCCCTGCGGTGTCGCAGATGGGGCGACCGCCCCCGAGGTGGCCACGATCGCGGACGTCGTCGAAGGCAGCAGCTGCGTGGTGGAGGGAAGGGGCTGCGTCGCGGGAAGTGGCGGCTGCGGGGGTGCCCCCGTGCCTGTGGATGGGGGCGGCGGCGGCGGCATGGTGGAGGCTGGTGGGGGTCCCGACATCGCACCTGTGATCTCTGATACCAAATTGATAGGATTGCGGATCCTACCAGCTATGGTTCGGAGGTTGTAGGGATGGTGGATCGGAGGACGGAAACGGGAACGGCGCTGGGGCGCCGTGTTCTCGATCTAGGCGAAGAAGGAGGAGGCTAGGGCTGTTATGAAGTCTCCCGGCTCCCTAAGGGAAGCCGAGCAGATTGATTGCTCTTGCTTCATTGTTTCAATTCCTTACAATAGCTATATATAGCAAATAATGAAAATACTAATGGGCCTTGCGCCTAACTAGCCACTAATGGGCTTCTGCCTTCGTGCATATGACCGACCGGTCATAACAGTAATACTCTTTGATCTGTGCAGGGGCATTGTACCCTTGAATAACCCATGCATCTAATAGCAGTAACTATTAACGAGAGTAGCTAGTGACCTGTTTTTCTTCTCATTTTGTATAATTTTTAGTACTGTGGATATGTAGCCAATAGAAGACCTTAGATGTCCACAGTAAAAGCTTGAGTCAAGAAGGCACTGTAGAGTTCAGCATTGCCACATCTTATCCTTAGCATGTGATCTGTATTGGCCGGACATAAAGTTACCTAAAGAAATATTTTAATAAAGCATATATCTGGAAGTTTCCATAGATCTCTAAAAAATATGAAAAACATGTATGATTTATTTAAAACTAAACAAGCAAAGAATGCATACAAGATCAGTTGACTGGGCTACAAATTCTTGTAGCATTTCTGTGATTACTAATTTTCCAGCTAAACCACAAGGTTAAATTTCGACAACAAAGTTTAGATATTTCTAGTTGTAGTTGCAGCAAGTATATATATGGTTTCTTAAATCCAAGGTGCCAAATGGAATGATCTACAAATACATGCAGAGGTGTAAAAACTCTGGCTCTGCTTTGTTTGCAAACAGAAGTTTCTCTTTTGTAGAACATGAAAGCAGGCAAAGAAGTAATGAATGCGTGATTTGATATTTGAATTTCTGTTTTTCCAGGGAATGAGATGCCCGGCGAACACTCACAAGGCAACCTTTCATGTCAATGCCAACATGGCAAAGCAGAGTAGTGGCAAGGGGAGTACCTCAGCACAGAGGGGTGGTAAGGCCCCAAGTGGTGTAAACATGGATGGAGGACTCAACGAGGAAGAGTTCTTCGAGTGGTTCCAGAATGCAGTCAACTCTGGAATGTTTGAAACTGCATTCGGGGCACAAGGTGACCCGACTTCTCCTGGTAGCGGAAGCAATGCGAAGAGTAGCAGTAGCAGTAGTAGTAGGAAAAAGAAGAAGGGGAAGAAACAGTGGTAAGCAAAGCAGGTACCCGGGGCAGACAAAAAGAAAAGAAAAGAAAAGAAAAGAAAAAGAAACAGAATAAGCGTTTTGGTTAGGGAAATACAACTCGGAAAAATCGGCCCCCGACTTAATGGTTCGTAACGAGGGGCCATTGTAAATCCTGGTTATTCATGGAAGGAGTGTTGGCTGATGTTAATGGCCATTGTAAGTCCTGGTTCATCATGGAAAGAGTGTTGGCGGATGTTAATTAATGTATCGTCCTGGCCCTGGGAACTTGCTTGCGAAAAAAACTATAATCGAAATGCAAAATGCATAGATATGTGCATAAACTGTAGCTGATTTAGCATGAGCTGCACTATCCTAGTCTCGGTAGATGCTGCGCCGTTGAGCTGAAATGACACTGGTATCAGAATTCAGAAGCAGCAAACTGATGACCAGGACACAGGAAAAGTAGTTCGATTATTTTTTGCAGCGTCATGGTCATGAAGCCGCCGTCGTCAATTGCCGGGCTTTATCAGGCCGTGCCAGTGCCGGCATTTAAATAGGTCAGAAATGGGTGGTGGTTAGGCGTTGCTGGCTGGGATTATATATAGTAGTAAGATATAAACTGCCTACAGCAAACATCTGGTTGCAACAAGGAGCCAAGGACCCCCTCCCGGCACTACAGAGGAATTCAAAAAGGAAAAGCTTATTTGCACCTAATGACTAAATAATGAGGAAGAAAAAGAGTGCGCTGAGTTGGATGAGTATAGAGTTATTAGGCCTACAGAGGAATTCAAAAGGAAATCTTAGTTTGACCTAATAATATAATAAATAAATAATGAAAAAAGAGTGGCGCTGAATTGCATGTATAACCACTTGATCAAACTCACCTCTTTAATTTATGAATTCAAAATACATCTTTCAAAATTTACACTCAGGCGACGACTTCAGCACACTACCTTACAATAATTAAGTATATACAACCCAAATCATATATCTATAAAACTGTTAATAAAATAAAATGAACACACACACTGACACACACAAAAAAAAACTTTGATTTTATCCTTTTGTTATCCTTCACTGAAGCGGTGAAGCGTGCAGTGGAAATTCAGAACTAGGTAGCACAAGTAGGAGATTTCTTCTTGGCGCCGCCGCCGTGGTTGACGTCGACGAGGCCTTCGTTGCCGGCGAGCATGAGGTACTTGTCCTTCCTCGTCAGCCCCGTGCACGTGTACCCCAGCGCCTCCGCGATCCGCCGCTGCAGCTCGTTCGCCACGGCGCGCGCCGCCTCCGGGCCGTCGCCGCCGCACTTGAGGGTGTCCAAGAACTGCACGATGTATGCCGGCACGGGGTTCATGAGCAGGAACAGTGGGTCCAGCCCCTTCCACCCCCCCGCCGTCGTGCCGTGGAACATGCCCACCGACGAGTGCAGCGCCACGGGCGCCACGTCGTGGCCGAGCTCGGCGAACAGCGGGCTGAACCGCAGCAGGTACGGCTCGCGGCAGGTGGTGCCCTCGGGGCAGACGACCAGCCCGCCGCCGCCGGGGCCGCGCGACTGCAGCTTCGCGTGCATGGCGGCGCGGTCCGCCGCGCGGTCCCGGGTGAGGCGGAACGTGGGGATCGGCGACAGGACCTCCGAGAGGCGGCTGATGCTGTAGGTAGCGGCGGCGAGGTCCGCGCGCCTCGCGGCCGCGGCGACGTAGAGCGGGTCGAGCAGGGAGCGGTGGTTGCAGGCGAAGAGGTTCTTGGACGCCGAGGAGGGGTTGGCGATGAGGCGACTGTGCATGCCGAGGGCGGCGAGGAGGGGCACGGAGAGAGAGAACGGGAGGACGAGGAAGGTGGCGCTGCGGACGACGGCGAGGGCCGCGCCCATTGGCACCCACATGAACATGGCGAGCGTCGCGGCAGGCGTCGGACGGAAGGCGATCCGGCCGTCGTGGAAGATGAGGGGCTTCGGGTAGCGCCGCCGCGGGAGCGCGTGCCATCGCCGCCGTGCCGACTCGGTCGGCACGTATACCTCCTGCATCATTCGCCACGTACATCAATGCCACGAAGGAATTGATCACAAGGTTTCAAATGGAATCAAACACATTTCATAAGGAATTGATTGAGCATAAGGTGAAGCACTTTGCATGTTTTATCCTGCGTGTGTGTGTGTGTTTTGCACTTAGTTGAGGTGAAGCCAAGTTTCAATTGGTGGTGATACTATCTAGCTAAGGTATATCAATATAGTATATTATAAAAATAATATTTTCAAGGAGTAGCTAGTAGGTATACAGGTAGTGCTGGCCTTCTTAACCATGCTTGAGCAATTCATGCCCAAATGTCTCACCAAATCTACTCTCATTTCGTTCAAGTCATCATACGATGAGCAGTCAAACAGAGCACTCAAGCACGTTCCAGTGTTGGGCCTAATTTTACTCTCATTACTTCAAGTTTTATCAAAGATGGTGCAGACTGCCTGCTCAAAAACAGTCATAATACAGTTCATAGTTTGGTGCCAGTCTAACTGTTCATAGCACAGCTCATAGTATATTTTGGTGACATTTAGAGCATGACAATCTTAAAAACAATTCAAAGTCCTGACCCGTCTAGCACGTGTATTCGTAGGGATTGAGGAGTGAGTGTGCGTGTGTGCTTATACAACGAGCCTGTTTGCTGTTTGTTTTCTATGCTGATAAGCCTGACTGTTGTTGGCTTGTTGTAAGAGGAAAATACTGTTGGCTGACTGATAAACCCTGACTGAATCCAACAACCGAACAGGCTGAACGACTATGACCCTGTTTATTTCTATTTGCCATGTCAAAACTTTTGCTGCTAAACTTTAGTCCTACCTAGGGTGTTTGGATCTATGGTAAAAATTTAGTCATTTGTCATAAATGAACTGATTTGCCCCTCATTTAATTAAGGAAGAGAGGGCGCAGGTGGGTGGGTGGGGGTATTGGCGTGTCCAGCACGCACCTCAAGGAGTTTTAGCTCAGTTTTGCATCTCTTGAGGTGCAAATAGACTAAACTTTAGCCACCCTCTTTTGCTCACTTTAGCCCAGGTTTTTGGTTCCATTTGCCAAAAAAATGGGCCAAAAGTGCATGGCAAAAGTTTTGCCACTGAAACAAACAGGGCCTAGGCATACAAACTACAAAGTATATATAACATAGGCAAAGTATATAAATGTATCAGTGGCGGATCTAGAGGGGTTTGTTAGAGTCCACTGTCCCGATGAAATTTATAAGCCTGGTTCGCTTGAACTTATCAACTCAGTTTATCAGCTATGATACAGTGTTTTTCTCTTACGACAAAATAATATCAGCCAGCTTATCTCAGCCACAGGAACCATCAGCCGAACTGTAACTTAAGAAAATCTATGTCATATAATAAAGTTGATACTAATGACCCTTGATGTTGTTTCGATATGCATGCATGTTCCAATGCCGGGGGTACACGAGAACACTATTATATGGCACGATCATGGTTTAATGAGACGAGTTGGACGTCTACCGAAGATCAATTTATAAATGGTGACGAGTTCCTTTTCTTGACAACTGTTACACGTACTACGTGTTAGGTTACGTTATCAGCCCGTCTGGTCATGCAGCAGCCAGCGATCACCAAGACACTGACCATAGATATCCATGTTTTTCTTTCTTTCTTTCTTTCTTTAATTTCTTTTCTATCTGTGGCGAAATAATAACAGTTTCGAAAGTGACCAACCGAACCTACATTTACATCTATCTCTGCATCACAGATATACTTTGATACAATCGTGACATTTTATTTGGGTAATATATGTGACAAATGCTTCCTTCAGGCCAGAATAAGTGCACGGCTTGCATTTTAGGGAGTCATGACTTAATATATAAAAAATACTAATATTCATGATACCAAATAAATATCATTAGATTACTTAAAACATATATTTTTATAATAAATCTATTTGATATAGAAATGTCGATGTTGTTTTTTTATAAAAATAGTCCAACTTAAAATAAATTGACTTCTTCCAAATATCAATTTATTTGTATATCTTTCGATTACCATATATGAGTCTATTGTTATATTGTCATTTTCATGTGTCAAATCGATATAATTTGATGCATGTTAATGCAGTCTTGAGAAGGTGACTGCAGTAGGTAGTTACCGCAGAGTTTATGCGACACCCTCTGTTTTTTGGAATACTAAACTGGGACGTACAAACCTTGCAATGCTTTTGGAACACCTGGGCGAACGAGGACCCGAGTCCAGCAACGCCGCCGACGACGTCGTCGTCACTGCCGCCGCCGGCCTTGTCTCCGGCGATCACCTTCCCGACGTCCAGCGCACGCAGCAACTCGCTCTCGTCCTCCATGACGCCCAGGTAGTACCCCCTGAACTCCCTCATCTCGGGCGCGACGACGGCGTCGACACCGAGGTACTGGACCAGGAACGGCTGCACCATGGCCCGCGGCATGGCGCTGACGCACACGCACCGCCGGCGGGGCGGCGCCACCGCCGCGTCGAACACCTCGGCGCTCACGTCCTCCAGGAGCAGCTTGGGCAGCGCGGCCCCGCCCGCACGGAACGCGTCCTTCCGGAGCCCGAGGAAGGTGACGACGGCCATGGCCCTGACCGCCCTGTCGTGGCCGAGCAGGCGCAGGGCGGGGTAGAGCAGCAGCAGGAGCAGCGCCCTGACGAACCCGCCGCCCTCCAGGGCCACGAGCATGAAGTAAGGGAAGGCAGAGGAGGACCTTAGTAGGCCGCCCTCCACCTTGCACACGGCGACGCCGCCCGCCGCGGACGACGGCGGGAGCGCATCCACCAGGTCCAGCTGCGGCGGCGTCGCCACGCGCCCACCATCCGGCGACGGCCTCGCCGGCGCAGGCTGCGCCCGGGTGACGACGAGGGCGTTGAGCCTCCTGATGAGGGCCTTGTTGAGCTGGGAGAGGGACTTGGCGAAGGCCTTGGACATGGCTGCAGGGTCAGGGACTAGGTAGCTAGTAGCTCGATCGCGCGCGACAATGGCTGCAGGTTTGGCAGGCGTTGTGCTGCGCGATGGAGCAGTGGATCGGTAGAGCTAGGCGGCAATGGCATCTGCATATATATACATCCATGGTCAGTATTTGTCTCTCATTGAATAAATGCAAGCTGGAGACTATGCTGCCTAAGCTTTGAAGAAACTGAAACGCGAACCAAACGAAAGATGTGCAGTGTACAACGAGTATCGAGCACCTTCCGTCGATGGCCGGGTGGTGTCGCATAATTTAATATATGTGAGCTTCTTTCCATCCCAAAATAAATAGCTAGTGCATGACATTTGAGACATTATGGCTACAGTGTGCATGGACGGATTTTGTAACTTGACAAAAGAAAGAATATATATCATGTGGTAATTTTTAGACCCTATTTGATCGTCTAGAGTAAATTGTTAACTCCGGCTAAACATAACTACCTAAAAATTTGTTGGGCTATTTGGATGGGTAGACTCCTACCAACAGTCTAGGAGGTGATTGGTTCACGTACGAGTAGAGGCTAGCTCGTATGTGAGAGCCAACAGGCTGAGCGTATGCAACACCATCGTGTTTTGTGCGCCTGGTGGTTGAGAAGAGATGTTATTTGATTGCGTGTACGAAGAATGTTGCATGAGAAAAATAATAATACAAGATTATGACTATGATTTTTGTTTAGTACAAATACACTCTTAAAGCTCTTATTTTATCTTATTATGTCTTAAACTTCTTTAAAACACATTAATCAACGTGTTCGGCTCAGCTTGTTTTAGCTTGTTCTCTCTCACAGAACACTATTGAATCAGCCAAAACCAGCCGAACATCCTTCACAGACTGGATCAGCCGAACGAGCTCTTTGAGACCTCTTTTGCATCCCTCGAGCAAGGCCCACAAAGCAGTACAAGCAACCAAACATCAGAAACTTGCATCCCACTAGCCTGGCTGAGGCATATGCAGCCAACCAATCAACCCCCTAAAGTACCTTTCTCTTTTAACTCTACTACCGATTGTCCTCTTCCTTCAGTTAGGCATTGTTATAGGTATTAGAGCATCTCTAAGAGTATCCTAATTTTTCTTTCTAAAACTTATAGTTTAGCAACTCCTAAAAAACTATTGGATGAATTAAACAAGATCATTTCCTAGAGTTTCTAATAATTCACTCTAAAAATATATTACAAAAGCATATTCCAATCATTCAATGACATTTTCGTTAATACGATCATCTTCTTCCTCCTAAGGAGAAGCACGTAGATGGTGGCCTTGCTGCCTTGTGCCCGTACCTGAGAACAAGCACGTACAAGTCGCACAGTAGCAGCCACACCGACGCGGGCGAGCATAGGGCCACAACAGCACGGCAGCGGCGGCAGCACCAGCGCGGGCGAGCAGGGCCGCACGGCCAAGGAGCCACGACAAGCACGCCGACGAGCAGGATCCGCAGCGCCGCGGCGACGAAGAGGTCAGCTGGGCCACCGTGGACTCGGTGCACCTGAGCACAAAGCCGTTGCCGTAGTAGCCTCGGGGCAGCTCGGGCTTCAAGCGCCGCCGCACATTCACGGAGAAGAGAGCTTCTGCTCGCCAAGACGGGCGCGTCGAGCTCAAGGACGTCGGCATCCTCGTGGTGATGTGCAACCTGATCAACCCGACGCCGTGCGCAAGGGAGAGAGGAACACCGGAACTCCTGGGAAACCTGACGTTCGCATGCAGGATCCGCGCGACAGCAAGGGCGTGTATCTTTGCGCGGATTGTGTCATTTTTTTCCAAGTCCTAAAAGATTAGGAGGTGGGATTAAGAACTGTTGGAGATGAATTGTTTCAATCTCGCCAAAAAAACAAAGGATTGGGAGAGTGTTTTGAGAACTCTTGGAGATCCGATCCGATACTGATGCATGAATCTGTAGTAGTGGCTGGCTTGCTTGGGGACTCCAACCGTAGATATACTCATATTTTTTGGTCAATTATACTTTAAAATAGTAGGTGATATTCTAATTCACAATAAATGACTACCTTTGAAAGGAAGGATTTTATTAATCCACAACATATAAGCACACAACCTATAAAAAATAAGAACATGCCACTGTAATCACTATCTTTCCTAAGATTAAAACGCCATCCACATGTGCCTGGCAAAAAAAGAAAAAACCGTCATTGTCTGTGCCAATTGTTGTGATGCCACTACAATTAAATCTCTATGACAACTCTAATAATTTTAAGATCTATATTGACGATGTTTCGAAAAACAAACAGGCACTTTTAGAATGAGAACTCAAATCTCACCGCACATGTTTTGTGCTCCTTGTGCAAAAGAAAAAAAATACACACGTAATGTTGAAGCACATGCATGATGCATCCAGTATGTACAAATTTGGTTGATGATAAAGAGAGAAATGAATGACCCCAGAGCAAATTAAGCTATATCTAAACCATACAGTGATTTTTTATGTCCATACAGTGATATTTTGGTACACCACATGCTAATAAGGATGAAAACGGAAAGAAAATATCCCGAATCGAACCGCATCGTTTTCTACATTTGACCCGAGCGAATTCGTATTTTCGGACAAAATACGGAATACTAAATTCGAATTCGAAATTCGGAACACCAAATTCGAAATCGGATCGAATTCGGTTTAGGCTTTGTTCGACCGATTTCTACATTTCTACTTTTAATTCGGAATATCCCGAATTCGAAATTCGGTTTCGAAATTCGGTTTAAACCAAATTTGACCCACTACAAGTCCAACCTTAGAAAAATTATATCTTTTTCATTCGATCTTGGATGAAGATGATTTTTGTATGAAAATTATAGCTCTCAACGAGATCTACAACTTTCTAGTTCTTAGTTTTTTCATTTGATGTCTTGAAGATGTTCAAAAAAATTAAACAAAGTCAGCAATATATTAATCGCGTACAAGCGCTTGTTGCCTTAAAAAAATCATATCTTCCTTACATCGTGTCGAATGGAGATACTTTTTAAGAAAGTTGTAGGACTTGTTAATTATTATGTACTTGTTAATTGTTATGCACTTGGTCCTACGGGTCATTATTCCGTATTGATTTTCCGTATAACGACCGTGTTCGATATAATTCCACTCGAATTAGTTCGTTTTCGAAATTTTTGATATTCCGTAAGTTCGTGTTCGTTTTCGTGTCCGGCTTTACCGCTTTCGTTTTTGTTTTCGTATTCAAAATGTAGAAGTAGAAAACGGTTGAGAGGTTTTTCGACCGTTTCCGACCGTTTTCATCCCTACATGCTAACGCGTGCATACAACCAAGTTCAACTAAAACAAAAGGCCATCCCGACATAGTTGCTAAAATCTGCGATTTTGATATGAGATCATACGCCTTTGCGACCTTAACTAAGGGGTATGATTCTATGATTCTAATTAGTATTACGTTTTCATGATTTTTATGTTTACAACTATATGATAACCATCTTACTTAAAGATTTCCGATTCAATTTAGAACCTACGATTTTGACAACCTTGATCTCGGCAGTCACCTATATATATTATGAGCCCTTTTACAATGGTTGAAAATGCTTTCTAACGCTTGCTGACGCTTCCTGATGCCTATCCAAAATAGCTATTTTTATTGATTTTATTTTTCAAGGGCATTATGGTCATTTTGCAAAGCCAACTCACCACCCCCGCCGGCCCACCTCCCAGCCCGCCCACGCACCCACGCGAAGGGAAACGTCGCCGGCCTACCCTCGCCCGTGCCTAGCGCCGTCGCTCCTCCCTCCTCCCCGGCGCCGCCGCCTGACACGAGCGGCACCTCCGCCTCTGTAGGCCGCTTCCCTCTTGCCCCTCGCGCTCCCTGTAGTGCAGCCCGTGAGCACCACCGCGACACCGTGCGGGTAAGTCCCTCTGATGGCCTGATCCTGTCTCTACCCCAATGCTGCCCTGCGGTTGCTTGCGGTGCTTCTTTTGTTGCAGCGGGCTGCAACGCCAGTGATTTCTGATTTTGTTCTGCGGCAATCGCGCCAATCAAACTATAATGCCAGCGTTGTTGCTAGTGTCATTGTTCCGCACGTATTATCCTGAATTAGAGTCAAGTCAGTGAATAGATAGCAGGCACAGTAACAATATCTCATTAGCTGTTTAATTAATTGCTTGCAAGCAAGAATTGTCCTAATTCCTATGTTCTGGTTCAAATGGACAGTTGGGGTGTGAAGAAATTCCCAGAGCCAGTTCACTTTGTTCCGTTCTTCATTTGACGTTGAGTTACGACAATTAGGATTCTGGTTGTTCCATCTGGTAAGTAACAAAAATTGCAGCCGAGCCCTATTCATCTTAACTTGAACAAGGTTCAGAATGGTAGCTTGCATGTAAGATTTTTGTGCCTTATGCCAAACTGCTCGGGAAGGTTAACAACCTAGCTCAGAAAATAACCTGATGCTTGACCTTGACTTGAGTCGGCTTGCCTCCTTTGGAGCAATAATCCAATCTTGAGAAAAACTAGTATTGTGCAAAATTTGTCAACACCTTTAAAGCTTGAGCACTTTGTAGTTAACCTTTTTTTCTGCAGTACTTCTTAATGTGAGTTGGAGCTGTAGTATTGCTCCCCTGGTAGTGACTTGCAATACAATCAATTTTAGTGCTAATGTTCATTGAATGAATCCTGATCACATGGTGATAACTTGTGTATCATCATCTTTTAGTGAAGCTTGGTTTCTTTGTTACCTATATCATAACTTCTCGCTACTATTTACTTTAAACTGAGATAAGGTTTTCTCGTGTAATCCTTTTTGAGCACCGTCGTCCACATGCAGGGTGCAGCAAGCATTTGTGCACCCTAGAGAGCAGGTAACAATTTCTTAAAAAAAAAAGAGCAGACAACAATCCTTGCAGGTGGACATATAGGACAGACAAAATGCCGCATTGTCTCTAGAAAGGATAGACAAAGAACCTGTAGGCAAAGAACCTGTTATGCATAAAATATCTTGTAGGATAATGCAACTATCT